GAGTTGACAAATTCTAGCTGGTACTTGCTTAATAAACCATTTTAGCAAATTAAAATAATAAAACAGCTGACATGTAACCACTTTTACAACTGTTTTATTATACACAGCACAAATTAGAATCAGGTCTATGAAGAATCACCATGGAAACCCATGTTTATAGTTGTTTTTCTTTTTAATTTATAGGAAGCCCAGTTGTATGGGCAGTACTAAATAGAAGATATTAAATACAAATGTATTTAGACCAAAATAAGTTGGGAAGTATTATAATTATTTACAACATTTGTATTGCAAATGTTTAGGCAAGAACGTCCATGTATATTTAAGATAATAGATGGAGGTAGGACATGTATACCAGTGGACTTCTTCTTGGAACTTGACTTTGGCAGGTATGGTACTTTATTGCCAGGGAAGGGAAAAATACCCTAGGACAATAATATCTAACTTTGGAATTGCAGATGTTTCTAAATTTCCTTTTTCATGAACATCATGGTAAATATTAGCTATGCATCTAGGGAGGAGAGGTAAACCATCACTGACTTCTGCTATAGAACTGAAACGTTGAATCTTTGTGGCAGTTGCTAAATAAAAGCTAAGTTATTATTTTTTTCACCATATTTCTCTGAAGTCCTTAGAGTGCTATTTTCTACTTTCTTGTATATATATATATATATATATATATATATATATATATACATATATACATGTGAGGTAAGTCACCCCATTGCCTTTTGTTGCACTATAGTGCTCCACTCAGGAATAAGCATATCTTATACAAAGAGTAGTATCTAACCAAAGTTACAATACAATACAAGGTGCCACATTCACAAGGTATAAGGTAAGTATAGTTACCAAAATCTTTGGAAACGTACAAAACTCACATGAAAAATAGAAGAACAAAAGATCATAGTGCAAACTTTAATGAACAAATATAGTAAAAACAAACAAATAAAACACTCGCAAAATCAGTGGCACAATTGAAAGGAATCAATATGTGCAAATGCGCTTTTTTTTATTAAAAATGGACATGTACAAAACAGAACTTTCTTTAAACCAATGGATGGCAACAGCTTCATCGAATTCTCAAGCTGTCACCATCCAAATTGGCTGAGGAATATCCCAAAAGGCCAAAAATTACAGCTTTTTAGGAATTGTACCAAGGTAAGCAATTTTAACAACCAAGTTCAAGTTCTGAATAAGAAATGTAAAAAATAGGAATTATCCTATATACCTCAACCTAATTGAGAAAGCAATTAGAAAGCCTTGGCCTATTTTAATTCAAGAGGAAAAAAATATTCTGCCAAAAAAAAAAAAAACTAGTGTGATTTACAAAAGAATGGATAATTTAAAATCCATCCTGGCCCCCAGTGTCTTACCAGAAGTAAAGGATTTAACAATCAATAGCAATAATAATTTCTTAAGTAAAATAAAACAAAAGTTTTTTTTTAATTGCGGCAGATGCAGCACATGCAAATGTCAGGCAACAAAACAATATAGTTCAAGAGCACCATTACCAGAGAAGTTTGCAAAATTAAGCACTTTATAAACTGCCAGAGCAAAAACGTTGTATATCTGCTACAATGTAAACATAGAAACATAGAATGTGACGGCAGATAAGCACCATTCGGCCCATCTAGTCTGCCCAATTTTTTAAATACTTTCATTAGTCCCTGGCCTTATCTTATAGTTAGAATAGCCTTATGCCTATCCCACGCATGCTTAAACTCCTCTACCACTTCAGCTGGAAGGCTATCCCATGCATCCACTACCCTCTCGGTTAAGTAATACTTCCTGATATTATTTTTAAACCTTTGCCCCTCTAATTTAACCCCTTAAGACCGGAGGGCGTACTATTACGCCCTATTCTAAGCGGCTCTAAACGCCGCCGGGCGTAATAGTACGCCCTCCGGTCTTTCGGTACTTACCCGGTCGCCGGCGATCCCACGTCGGTGATCGCGGTGGGGGGGACTCCCAGGGAGCCCCCCGCGGCACATCCGTCCTCCTCGAAGCCCCCCCGGCCGTGTGAGAGTGGGGTCCTTGCGAGGACCCCACAATCACATGGCCGGGTGTAGCTGGCTGCAGCATTGCCAGCAGGGGGACTGCCTGTAATGACAGGTGGTCCCCCTGCTGGCTTAAAATAAAAATAAAATAAATAAATAGTGTAAAAAAAAAATAATATATACTTAGATCATATATATATTATCTAAGTATATATATACACATATACATACACACACGTACACCGTCTAGGTGTATTTTACTATTAATATATATATAATTATATATATATATTAATATCTAATTACACGTAGACTGATACTGATTTAATATATATATAATTATTGTTATATATATATTTATATATAATATAAAAAATTTTTAATGTAAATACGTAAAAAAATAAAATAAAAAAAATAATTAAAAATAAATAATTAAAAAATATATAGATGTGTGTTATTTTGTTCTAACTGTATTGTGAAATTAATATATATATATATATATATCTCAAAATACATGTAGAACGAAATAATATATATATCTATATACATAAATATATACGTATATATCACTATATATATACCTATATATAAATAAAAATATTTAAAAAAAATTATATAGATATATACATATATATACACATACGTATATATACATATATTAATTCTACATATATATTTATGTAATATTTTTACATAATTAGGTATCTTAATTAATTACAATTAGCAGGACCTGCCTGACAACCCATGCCGAAAGTAAAGGGAATTTAATTTGCTAGCACTATATTTAACCCTATAACTTTCCGAGACACCATAAAACTTGTACATGGGGGGTACTGTTCTACTCGGGAGACTTTGCTGAACACAAATATTAGTGTTTCAAAACAGTAAAATGTATTACAATGATGATATCGCCAGTAAAAGTGATGTTTTTTGCATTTTTCACGCACAAACAGCATTACACGGACAATATTATTGCTGTGATACTTTTTACTGTTTTGAAACACAAATATTTGTGTTCAGCGAAGTCTCCCGAGTACAACAGTACCCCTCATGTACAGGCTTTATGGTGTTTTCAAAAGTTACAGCGTCAAATATAAGGCTTGCATTTCATTTTTTTCACATTAAAATTCACCAGATTGGTTACGGTGCCTTTGAGACCCTATGGTAGCCCAAGAATGAAAATTACCTCTATGATGGCATACCATTTGCAATAGTAGACAACCCAAGGTATTGCAAACAGGGTATGTCCAGTCTTTTTTAGTAGCCACTTTGTCACAAACACTGGCCAAAATTGGCGTTTTTTGCATTTTTCACACACAAACAAATACTAACGCTAACTTTGGCTAGTGTTTGTGACCAAATGGCTACTAAAAAAGACTGTACATACCCCATTTGCAATACCTTGGGTTGTCTACTATTGCAAATGGTATGCCATTATGGGTGTAAATTTCATTCCCCGGCTACTATACAGTCTCAAAGGCAACGTAACCAATCTGGCGAATTTCAATTTCAAATGTAACGTGCTATATTTGACCCTGTAACTTCCCAAAACGCCATAAACCTGTACATAGGGGGTACTGTCTTACACGTGAGACTTTACTGAATACAAATATGTGTATTTTATTGCAGTAAAAGCAAACAGTATTATGACATTGACAGTTAAAATGTCATGTAGAACTAAAAAAAAATAAAAAAAATCTTATTTTCTCCCATTTTTTTCATATTAAATTATGTTTCATAGCTAAATATTTGATATTAAATGAAAGCTCTGTTTCCCCTGAATAAAATGATATATAATAAGGGTGGGTGCATTTACTATGAAAGAAGTGAATTACGGTTGGACAGACATGTAGCGCAAATGCCAGGTTTTGTTTACATTTTGTTTTGTTCACAACGTGTACATTTGGCTCCGTCCTTAAGGGGTTAAAACTATGTCCTCTTGTTGTGGTAGTTTTTCTTCTTTTAAATATGGCCTCCTCCTTTACTGTGTTGATTCCCTTTATGTATTTAAATGTTTCTATCTTATCCCCCCTGTCTCGTCTTTCCTCCAAACTATACATGTTAATTTCCTTTAACCTTTCCTGCAATCCATGAACCAGTTTAGTAGCCCTTCTCTGAACTTTCTCTAAAGTATCAATATCCTTCTGGAGATACAGTTTCCAGTACTGCGTACAATAGTCCAAGTGAGGTCTAACCAGTGTTCTGTACAATGGCATGAGTACTTCCCTCTTTCTACTGCTAATGCCTCTCCCTATACAACCAAGCATTCTGCCCTGAATCCCTTTCCTCAGATGTTGAGGTTAGGACTCTATCAAATATTCCGTACTCTGCCCTTGTGTTTTTACGTCCACGATGTGGCACACAATATGTGGGGCGCAGTATTCGTAAATTGCACGTAAAGTTTTTAGAGCATTTTAATGGCATCAACAGAAAAAATGTTAAACATAGTGTACCGAGACATTGTATAAATTGTAAAGATTTTTTTTTTTTTTTTTTTTATTCTTTATTTTTGTTGTGCATATGTGTACCGTACAGGCAGTCTAGAGATGCCCCAAGAGCAATCCCTCAGCAATTCCCACGCTCAACATGCGGGGCACAAGTTGAACAAGCACATTTTATATTAGTAACAAGTTTAAACATTCGATTTTACCAGTAGCTATATGGTATATTCAAGTTGTGTCTATGCGTTGACTATATTTTAAATGCTCTGAATATTGCTGGTGCATAACATATATTATAAAAGCAAGCTAAAGCTGTAAGTTTAAACAATAAGTATGTTTTAGTTATAGACAGGCTAGAGTCCGGTTGAACGCTTAAGCGCTGTTACCACCCCGGCCGGCCGGGACCCCCATGCTGCCTCCGCGGGGAGTTGTCTTCTTGGTGGTCCTGAGTCCTCACATACGCGGGGAGTCCCACTGGTAACCAACACCTGCTCTGCTCGATCTGTGTGGCATGTGTCGAGTGTCTGGAACAGGTATCAGGCCACGGGCCACCTATGTAGCGCTATAGGGTGCTGTCGATTCTTGGGTGGCTTTGTTGCAGACTGGGTGTGTGGTTGGTCTGTCTTCGCGCCGGTGACAGGCTCAGTCCATTCAGGTAGCAATGGTCGTTGCGCGGGTTACCTCCTTCCCCCCATGACGCTGCCATTGTCGCTGGTTCAAATACCTGCGGGTGGAGGTGACAATGGTCTCGCTTCTCAGCTTTGCCAGGTTCGAAGGTAGGAACCGCGTTGTCAGCCGTGGGTATTAATGCTGGGTGCCGGTCACCTCTTCGTCCCCTGCGCACATGGCGCCCGCCATCTTGGATCTCTGTCTGACTCCACAGCTTCAGCCGCGGCGTCCCGGTCAAAGCCTTAAGGTGGGGACCGGGATCACCCCCCCGGTCCATAGGGGGGGGAACAGGGCCGAATCCGCCCGGATTAGTGCCTTAGGTTGGGTGTTGTATTGCAGGTCGGTGGGGCAGCGGCCGTCCGCCTCACCGCCGGAGAAGGCCCCACGAGAGCGAGAGCGAGAATTTCTCTTCCAGGGGACTGTAGCTCGTGGAGCCAGCCTCGCCCTGGATCCAGCCGTCCCTCTGCGTTTGGCTTCGTTGCTGTCAGTCTGTTGTTCATTTTAAAGGCATGGTTTTTGGTCGTTTATATTGTTGTGGTGCAGGAGCTCTGCTTGCCTGCGACCGTCCAGCTCGGCGGTCCGGCCCCGCCCCCCAATTGTAAAGATTTTAAATTTGAAAATTTCATTCAGTGGAGGTGAGACTGAAAAATTATTAGCAATGAAAGAAACATAATGGATATAAAAACTCAAAACTTCAGTGCCTAATGGCCTGAATATCGATTTAGACATTCTGGTTTTTATGGATTGATAACCTTAAGATATTACTCTTTTTTTTTAGTGTTGTTTATGCTTTTTTACTAATTTCTAATAATTAATGATTTTTAAAAAAAAATATATATTTTTTTAAAATCCCTGGTTTTTGATTCATTTTATTAACTTGTTTGTGTTTCTCCATAGATCTTCCAGATCAATTTAATAATATACTTTGTACTGCGTTTTGGTGGTTTTATTTTATATTTCTCTCTTCCACTGTTTTATTATATTGGTTGTATACACTCTTTTATTAATTAGATTGTATCACCATATCCTTTGTATAGTTCTATATTTGGAATATTAGGATGTACTTAGACTATATGTATATTCGTGTATATGGTTTCAACTTTGTATCTGTGACTATTTCTGTATCGTTCACAAATCAATTCAAGCATACATTTCTACCTCTAATTTAATTGTAGGCATTTTCTTCTTGCTTGGTTTTCTTCTTATCTTTTATTATTCTTTAATATTAATATCATCCCATTATTGATGTTTTTATACGTAAGATTAATTTGTGGACTCTATGTTCCTTTGTTATAGTATTGGGCTCAGCATGTAGTTTTATATGATAAGCCTTTAGATGTTGTTAGTGTGTGCTGATAATAAAGTTTATCTTGCGTTCCAGCATGGTGTGCGCATGCGCGGCAGACGACTACTTTTGCCAACCACTTGTATGTGGAGAAGTCTATCTGGTATCCTGAACTTTCCACTATTAACTGGTATCCCTGGGGATTCAGCCTATTTGAGGCACAATGCGCATTTGCACATATTGATTCCTTTCAAATGTGCCACTGATTTTGTAAGTGTTCCATTTGTTTGTTTTCACTATATTTGTTAATTAAAGTTTGCACTATGATCTTTTATTCTTCTCTTTTCCATGTGAGTTTTGTAAGTTTCCAAAGATTTTGATAACTATACTCACTTTATACCTTGTGAATGTGGCGCCCTGTATTGTATTTTACCTTTGGTTAGATACTACTCTTTGTATTTGTTTCTGGAGGGATCCAGGGAGTGTTCCCATTTTCAGTGGCTTGCCTACATGTACTTGCACTTTTCTATAAATTACCGATCACTGTGATAAGCATATCTTATACCACTAGTAGGAAAAGGAATTATTTGTTAAATTTTTTGAGGGGTTTTCTCATGGAGAGACATACTTGCTAATGTAATGTAATAAAATACTAAATAGTACAGCTGAACAATATTCTGTAATAAACAACTTCCCACCTATGGAAATTAGCAATATACATTACCCAGAGTGTTTAACAAAGCACCAAAACAAATCCTTATTAAAACATGTAAATAACAAGTGATGCAATCAAAAGACCAATTATAAGTTAAATGTCTTGGCTGGTACAGTTTAGAGCTATATGTGTTCCTACACTCATTATAATTGTAAGATGTAGGTTAAATCACAGCCGAATGTTGGCCTGAGAATCTACTGTTCCCTGCAAAATCAAATTAATTAGCAATTCTACCCATTGATGAATAGCGTGGCAGGATGTGGCCCATACAGTGAACCGAAAATGTAGTGTAGCCAAAGGTATGCTGAATTGCTAACAAAAATGGAAGAGCGAATACTGTGTTCCTAGTGATGTATTGTTTTTAAGTTGGAACCAGACGTTGCTTCTGGTAACCAAGGCAACAAAACATGAGGATGCAAACTGAACAGCCACAGTCCAGGAGCAAAGGCAGGCTGGGTTAAATAGCCAGGTAACTCCTCCCACAATTCCAGACTACTGCCTTAACATATATATATATATTTTATGTCTCCTTATTTTTTTCCCTCTTGTAGTTACATCTTCTCGCTTGATCTGTGAAACAAAAAATTCCCAACACGTTTAACTGCAATAGGCTTTATCAAGCGAATTGATAAACACTAATGCATAGGTGAAATGTGTTGTGAATTTTTATATTTGATTTATTTGAAATAAAGTATATTTGGCACATACTTATTTGTGTTTTAACCAAAGATTAAAGATATTGCTCCACATGGTAGAGGTAATACCACCTATGCTGTAAATGTAGAGCGGTCCTACTGCTTCCAAATATTTATGGTTTCTATTTAATATTTAACCACTCATCTTATCAGAGAGCTCTATTTTGTTTCCTTTGTTTTTCATGTTTTATGTAGGACTGATGAAGAACGTGTGACATCAGACCCTAACCACCACACCCACTTACACATCTAGGGTTAGGGGTAGGGTTAGGGTTAGGGGTAGGGCTAGGGGTAGGCTATGGGGTAGGATTAGGGGTAGGGTTAAGGTTTGGTGCCTGGGCTGCCACCAGAACCACTTACACATCTATAGGACTCCCAGTGCCAGGAATTAGCTTATTGGTCTAGATTCCTGTCATCATTCACATAATTTTCCCTCCCTCTCTTGTTTTGCCACTTTTACAAAATCCAAAGCACTACGGCACTTCCGAAATGCAGCACTTTGGTTGGGTTCTTCCGAAATTCAGCACTTCGGCAATTAGTTAATTCGGCAATTCGGCACTTTGGCAATTCGGTTTGGCACTTCTGAAATTTGTCATTTAGGAAATTCAGCAATTCGAACATTTGGAAGCATTAGAATGTCTGAATTGCCGAAATTCGGCCAAAATTTACATTTGTAACTAATTGAATTGCACATGTCTAATATATAATGGTATATAACATAAATATATGTTGAATGTTAGTTTATGGGGCATGTTCTCTGTACTGTTTGTTGTATGCAACTTGAAAAAGGAGGTGCTAGAGGAACATGGTACATATATTTGCTTTAATGTTTTCTGATATTTCTGTTATTTCCCTTGGTTTACTTGTGCTGCTTTGGAGTTTTAGTCAAGAGAGGCTTGGGAAAAATATTCACCTCCTGTCAGTAATACAATTAAGATTGTAGGTATACTAAAGGTAGCATACTCTACCTACTATACTCTGAATATCTAATGTAATATTTCTTAACCTTAGAGACAAAAAGGGTAGTACATGTAAAGAGTATGATGTCTTTTGCAGCCTATTTATAAACTTCAATGTCAGATTTTCTAAAATACACCAAAATAACAGTTGGAGGATGCTGGTATCTGGAAATCCAACAATTGAATACATAATTCAACAACTAAAGCAATACCTTACTTAAGTACTGAATTTTAAGTTTTAATTTATTGATTTAATTTTGTTCTTCATATGATCCAGGATACCTTATTACTTCATATTTATTGTCTTTTAGTAGACAGGCAACTATAAAGTATGGTAAACTGTAATAAATGATAACAATTTTCAGTGAATAAATGAGGGGAAGATGTATACACCTTTAATAGCTCAATTAAAGATAGATCCATTATATGGTGAAAATAGATTGTCAGATGCTAGAAGTAAGGATAAATATTGTATCAAAAGCTAGAAGTAAGGATACATATTTAAAGGATGCTGTAAAAAGATAACATAAATTGTAGAGGGACTACTTTGTCTTGTGGTAAATGCCTAACTTGTCAAAACTTGACAAAAGATGGAGAATCCGCCGTTAGGTTCCATTATTTCCCACGCTATCAGTAGTGGTGGCTTTGGAAATAAGGTATTGTCTTGCACATCGCAAGATAATATCTTGCCATCTACAATTTACCATCTGCTTCATTGTAGTAGAATAATATTGATTTGCAATGAGGCAGAGCTTGTTTCAGTGAGACAATAACAAAAAACGAACACCTAGTCAGGTATGTGTGAGTGATGGATGTTAAGTCAGATTGGCAAACTATGTATAAATATAATCAACTGCCAAAGAGAACTAAAATGGCATTTGTTGTTAAAATTAGTCTAAAAGAACAAGATGGATATATGGATGGACTGACAGATGGATGGATGAACTGACAGGCAGACTTATGGACAGTAAATAAATAAAAGAAAGAGACAGCGCCAATAAACCTATTAGGCAGGAACAAAGTCTCCAGGTATAATATAAAAAATAAAAAGAGAGAACAGCCGATAGTGCAGTATGTATGATTCAAGTAAAATAAAATTCGAATAAAGGTAGCGAACTCACAATTTCTAAGAGCTTCTGTCCAGCTCTAGGGTAAAGCGCACACAGCGGTATAATCCCCGCTTATGGGATATGTGGTGAGTGTCGATTCTTCAGTGGTATCCAGAAACTCAAAGAGAACAGAAACAAGAAAGACAGTGCTCTCTGTATGGATATGTATTGTAGGAAGAAATAAAAACGTACTTACAAATACAGAGCAGGCCAACTGCTCTTTGATGCCAGCGCTGGTGGAATAATCCCCACCTAGGATTTCTTTGACTGCCAGGAACTTGTGGAAGTGATGTTAAAATCAGAATAAAAATATATAAAATGTGTATAAATAAAGATAATTGGAACTATCAAGTAACCAAAACTTTAATATTTATTATACAAAATTATATTTCCATAACGCGTTTCGTCATACAGACTTTTTCAAAATGGAATGCAATACAATACCTGGCAGATAGTGTTTATATAGACATAGTTAAGTACAAAATTGGTGCCAAAATTTTTTTGGCCAATCAAA